ATATGCTTTCAAAGTAAATTTACTTTTTATCATTCTTATAATGTTTGTCTCTTTTTGAGTCTTTAATGTTTGGCTGTAACTACTCATGTGGATTGTGCACACATGTAAATGCTTACATCTGTACATAATCTGCAATGTTGAATCGCACAAACGGAGGGAAACGCCTCAGTAATTCAGCAACTCCTTCATAAGTGTTATTTAAGTCATTTAAGACTATGTATTGGAAAAATGACTTCTACCTTCTAGGAATATGTTTTCCATCTATTGCTTGTTTTATTGTGACTCGATCCCATTTTGTGTTTTAATTTGTCTAATTCATTGTAATAAAGACAAGAGGCAAGACAGAAACGTGTTATGGTCTTCACTTAATGCACAACATCAGAAAACGTTACATAGCATTTCGTGTCATGTCACTAGATAAACTTAGATATAATGCAGTGACCAGTGGATCAGATTCAGTGTTGTGTTGCAAGGGCTTGTTACTTGTTTATCCAAATGACCTAAAAACTGTTCAATAGTAACACAAATGTGGGTAAAACTTGCTTCTTATGGTTGCCAGGGGATGAGAGCGGTTTCAAACCAGCATTTGTTCTGATTAAATTGTTGTTGTGATGTGGATGTTAAATGTGAGGTGTCTAACCCGACTCCATTAAAATAATTTCCCCTGTTGTCATCTGCGGAACTTTGTAAACCCCATATAACCAAAAGACACCCCGCAGTCGACTTGCTTGTTCTGTGATACTAATTCGTTTTTAAAGTTACTTGGAATAATGTATGAATATTTCGTTCACACACATTATGATTCTGATTCCCACTTATGTTCCTCTGAGAACATCTTTAAGGTAGTGTTGCTTTACCTGTTGTTTGTATCTCTATTTCACTCAACAACTGTTCCTTGTCTGCAAATTACCCATGTCCAGACTCACCTGTAGAGCTTTTAGGTCGTTTCTCAACTCCTACCCCCCCCCCCACCTGTCATCACTTAATCTACAGCATCACCTCTTTCCACACTGTCAGAACAGAAAACAAACGGCTCTTCATCTGGTCAAAATGTTGAATTGTGATGCTTTTCAAATTGGAAGACAGAAGAATAATTCCACTATTGGACAAATCAAGCGCACAGTTTACAAAAGATTATAGATTGTATGTAAAGTGCGGGCAGGTGGCAAATCTGTAAAGGAGTTAAATGTAGACGGAATTTCACAGTATTAAAGCCTTCAAAAATGTAGATGCCCATACACTGTACACTGAAGCACAAAAAAACTTCCTTTAATTCCAGCAGATGGCGTTCTACATCCATTGTAACAGATTGTTTTATGCCTGCATTGGCAATTTTATTCTGAATTAATGTTTATGCACTTACTGGTGTTACTATTTAACATTTAGCTTTCCCTGATATACCTACATTTGCATGTGGTAGTATTTGTTTAAACCATCTATACATCGTATTTCCTTTTTTGTTTAAATAGATTTGACGAAATTGTATTGCATGATTGTGATTCAGATTAAACCTCATATTGTTAGAGAACCCTTTATGTGAATAAAGTGCATACCCTGGTGCTTATACCTACATGAGGCACTTTCACTCTAAACCAGCTTGGTACATACAGTATAGAATAATTGTGCACAACTTTAAACCATTGTGACTCTTAACACTTTACATTCCCAATAATGTGCATGTTTTCACTGTATATGAAAGTGCTACTACTCTTACACCATTAACCTGCAAGTCTATTACCAAATCTACCAAGCCTTATCCTTTAGTAATGTGAATATGCTCTGTAACAGGTACATTGTTTTAATTATTTTCACGTAAGTCTTCCAAAGGTCAGTGCAGAGGGTCATTTCATGCTGTGGCGTCAGCAGTGAGGTGACCTCTGCTTTAGATGGTCAAGCCTTGGCAGGGGATGGGACCATGAGAGTGGCTACAGAAAAAAGGGGGGGGAGGTTAAAGTGTGCAAGTACTGGCCAATGTGACTAGTGAGGAATGTTGTGTTTAACAAAGGCTGTTTTCACAGACTGTAAAATCAAAAGTCCCAGACAGTCTGTGTGGACGTGCACCCACTGGTCACAGGGGAGGTGGTGCCAGTGCTGCCTGGTAGAAAATGTAATATAGCTCACTGAGTAGTAAAGTATTTTTGCAGCATAAAACCTCAATGAGGTAACCATAATTACAAAGGTCACGGGCCATAAATGCTCATAAACTATTTAGTGCTACTGAGGGGGATTGAGCATTTCTGCAGCATTTCTGGATAAAAACGTATACCAGTGGTGTGAAATAACCCTCACTTAAACCATTTCACCCAAATTGGTGATATCATTATCACATTCAATGTTTAGTGGAAGAAAATAAGATGTCCGCTCATTAATACACAATCCTCCTCTTGCTCTGATTTTACTGTTCCAATGCAAAGTTGCCCAGGAGGGGAGATTGATTGGTGAAAAGGGCAGCACTTTCACCTGGGGATTTATAGCTCTTTGAGGATATAAATAAACCACCGGAGGGTATAAAGGCAGGGGGTATTGTGGCAACATATCATGGGGCATGCCTTAATCACAGTGATGCTGAGCTGTAGCTCTGGGAGAGGGACAGGGGTAACATTTTTGCAGGAGATGGTGGTTCCCTGGAGAGTTGACAGCCCATGATGAGGACTCTAATACAGGCTGTGAAGACGTCACAGCTCAGCATGAGGGAATCACATCGGACGAGCATTTATGCTTATCTTCACTGAATAAATATAATGTTCGAGTCAAACTGCTGAGGTAGCCTTTTATCAGTTTAGGCTGCAGTGCATGATAATAACACCGTGCTGCACACAGCGCTGGATTCCTGAATGTGTAAAATCTGTAATTATCTCAAAGGAAAGAACAATGCAAGAGAGCGCTTCGTATGTTTTAGGACAGAGTACAGTGTGCACACTTTTTTCAGAAACAGGAATCAGTGCAACGCTGTCATTGCATGTGACTGCTTTGTCCTTCAGTAGCTCATCTCCTCGGGTTTATATTAACTTCTACATTCACTTCCTTGTTTTCCCTAAAGGCAAGGCAAGGCAAGTTTATTTATATAGCACCTTTCAACACAAGGCAATTCAAAGTGCTTTACAAAAAACGAAAGACATTGAGAAAATGGCAGTTTATAAATGTTATAAATGTCTTTATAACATTAGTTACACATTGACCACCAAACACGTGATTCTCATCATCTTGTTGTGGGTGTATTCATTTGACATTAAGCTGACACATTTTTGTAGACTTAGGCATTTTTTCAAACAACGAATGTGCTGAATACACTGTGATAAAGATGGCAGTCCTAAAATACTCAGAAATGTCTATAGTTGAAATAGTCGTGGTAGCAGAGGAAGCTGTGTTATACGTATTGACTGATTACATTTGCTATTGGAGAGCCCTTACAGATGTGCAATGTGAAAACAACATGTTTAAGCTTAAACAATACAAAACCTGCATATGAAAACTTTATTGATAAGTAGACTCGGCCTCATGGTTAGAGACAAAACAGGTTCAGTGTCTCTGTGAGGAAAACAATTAAACCTTTACATGTTCAGTCACTGCTGTAAGGAAGATAATCTTACTCAAAAAGTAAAACAATCATTTCTTTGCAATTTAGTTTGCATGTTTTAACAAGTGTGCTCTTGGAACAAGAGGATCGCCCACAGATACAAACTCAATTACACTTTTATTTCATTATTTTTAAGAGATCACTATTTGACAATGCCTAAATATTAAGCAGTCCACTTCTGTTATATCCAGGGTCAGTTTAACCCTCCACTGAGCCCCAATCATGTTACCCCTTCTATCTATTAATTGTTTAGTAACTTGATTAAGCAGATTTATTTAGGAAAATGCCAAATGTAACATTATAAATGCCTTAAAACTATAGGTTTTAACTCATGTTCCATCTACATAAAAGGCTTCAACATTATTTAACAAAGCCAGTGTAAATTTAGGGCCATTATTATGACAGTTTAAGTTGTTTTTTAGTGTTCAAAACAATATTACTAAACAAATGTTTCTTTGATCAAATTACCTTAAACTAATTGCCATGTGGTGAACCTGGAGCTTTGGGCCCCCTGAGGTTTTGGGGCCCCAGGGCAGCTGCTACCTTGTGCAGCTGATCCATCCTGGGTAGTGGATGGATGGATAGATAGATTACTGTTACAGTAGCTTATATTAAAGTAGACGATACCACTTTACAATAAGACTACCCTTATAAAGGATTCATAAAGGGTTTATAATTAGGTTATTAATTAGGTTGTAAACACTTTATTAATCCTTAAGAACCATTTATAAACCAGTTCTAACATAGTTTTCATACATCAACACAGGCTCACTATTTGGCAAGATGACTAAGCCTTATATTGGCTACCTAGTTTACTTCGTCTTCTTCATCAGCCAACATTCTTGGTATCTGTTGTTCACTGAGTTGATTCTCCCCCCATCCATCTTGACGTTTCTTGGCATCTCTTTATGACCATTTATTTACGAGTTACTAACATTTATAGTTGCCAAAATGGAGCCTTATTGTAAAGTGTAAAACACATTCCCATGTATTAATGAGTTACTACCATTTATAATAAGGCTTAGCAGTACAGATACATGTGGGCTCACTATTTGGCAAGCAACCGGTCACATTTGCCCTGTTTATCTCATGTCTTATAAAAGCTTATATCCTACTTTTTTTCTCTCACAATATTGAATTAGATGATATTTGAATGCCTCTAATTTGACCCAGACCAACAAAACAAAAAACCCTTTTAATAGCCACTTTTGTATTGAGAAATATTGCTTCTGCAATAGGCTACTATAACCAGTAACACCACAAAACACATTCTGGTACCACTTTACACTAACTCATTACATCTCAGAGGTGTCCAGTGTTGAAAGGTTGAAACAGAACAATTCAAATGGCGATGTTTGGGACTGCGTGCGTGCGTGCGCGCGCGTGCGTTTCTGTTTGTTGTCCTTGCAGGAGTGGTACAGCCCACGCGGATCGGTCGCTATGGAGAGCAGCGAGGCAGTCACAGAGAGCAGGACGAGCAGGAGCGAGGAGGACCGACACAGAGTGCCCGAGTGCACACACACACATAGGCATCATGGAGAAACGATCCCCGCCAGCTAACGGACTGCGACTTTTAACAACGCTGCTCATCTTTTACGGACTTACCTGTGAGTTAACTGTTTCTTTGTCATTTTGAGAGGCCATTGTGAGAAGTTGCCATAGTGCTCGGAGTCTCTACCGTTAGTCACTGATTCAAACCCGGCTAACGTTGGTCCTCGTTGTGCTGGGCTGTGTTCCGTTCAATGCCTGCTAGCTGTGTTCAGGCTAACGGTTCTGCTCTGTGGTTATCCTAACTGTATGTCGCTAGGAAAGTAAGTTAGCAGTTGGCGTCAGTTCACAGTAAGATAAACCTCGCTTGCACATTTCAACTGTGTTAACGTTATTAACAACAGTGTACCCTACCCAGCAACTTATTACACGCAAGCTAACCTCCGTTATAGTCCCATTTCTCCCTACCCGGGACAAGAGGTAGGGTTAAGCGCAGAGCTGATTTCGTTGTAGTCACACCAGTCACACGCAATTTTTTTTAGCTAAGGGGAGTTCTACTAAGTCACAACACGACTTGCCTTACATTAATCATTAATTGAGGAGCAGTATTTATTAGTATAGAAATATAATTGCATATCTGTGTGTGAGTGTCACTCATGGTGAGCTAAGAGCAGCTCCTTTGTGAAAAGTTTGCCCACTGGTTGTTGGATAGGGATGGGGGATCCACGCTATTGAGGAGAGGCAGCGCAGACCTCTCCGCTTTGGGCGTGAGAGTGGCAGGGGAAATGAAGACATATTTCAGGGGAGGCACTGCAGTCGCAGTCTCTGGAAGTATTGACCTGCAGTTGGGCTGCATGCCAGTCCGAGCACCTTTCAGTCTCCATACTGTCCCAAGCTGTGCTTTGCTCTATCCCAGTCCTGAGCTGGGATTACAATACATGGCAGGCCTGCTAAGACAAACATTGATGGATACTAAAAGTAAATGCCTCCAAAGAATGGCCCATTTTTTTTTTCTGAATTCAAGGGCAATAAAAAGACTCCAATATGCCATGGTAGCAGTATCTTAAAAGGACCATAAAACCTTTCTCGCATAGCTACATGCATGGCAGTCACCCTGGCACCAGCTAGGGCCGCAACTGATTGATGAATCTGCATTTGTTTTCATTTTTACATAATCTCTTGGTGAATGAAACATCAGAACATTTCCAAAAAGATTTAGGAAACCAGCACATAAATGACAATGGAAAAGCTTGAACCAGAAAATTCCTTTTGCACCCATTTTCATTTGAATTAGCACTTGCTCAGCTATTTTATTAATATAGCCATATACTGGCATTGCCATTTGATAATAAAAAAATGTGCAGATATTCATGTTTTTACATAAGCAGACAATCTAACAAGACATTTTTGATAAGCTAAAAGCCCCCACACAAAACAAGTTTCAGTGTGACACACACACACACACACACACACACACACACACATACACATACACATACTTTTTCAGTCTTCTTCATAAATTATTTTTCTGTCTGTTCCCACTAAACACTGGTTCATAGATCAACACAGTGAACTGATAAACAACACACTGTTGCAAAGTAAGCTGATTGGAACATGTGCTGCTGTTTGGAGCCATGTGCACACGTCTTAGTTTAACTAGTCACCTCAGCAGCCAAACAAGCTAATTATTAACACAGGACAATCTAGCCAGCAAAGGTTACTTTTGGTGTTGTGTTTGGAAAAGACTCCCTACCATATGGTTGAAGACCATGTGGCTCAAGCCTACTATTGTGCAGGGGTACTTTGAGTCAAGAACCTTCCTCGATAGTATCATTTTCAGATTCCCTGTATGTAGACAGGGCTTTGAGGAGGGGATTCATTCAAGGCGTGGCTACGGGTTGTGAGGTCTGTAATTGAAGACCTTAGTTGTGTGGTCTCTTCTCTTGGGGCCGCATGATTCATAATATAAATAAATAATGTTGTAATGAAGCCACCTAAATTACAGACTAAAAACAGAAATAGATTTTAAAAAGGCAATGTACTGACTGAGCAGATTTGTTCCCCTTATGTTAATGTACTTCAGTGGTTTATTAATTGACAGCAAGATGTAGCCAAGAAAGTGGTTTAGTCATTCGACATATTAATCCACTCCTGCTTTGTCTTTACAATGCTAAGGCATATCAGGTCAAGACTTGGAGACATTTGTTTGAGGGAGATATTCAGATAACATCTTTTTTTTAAAAATGTTTTGGGCCACCAGTGCTTTTATTACAGAGACAGATTTGAAAGTTAGAGAGAGAGATATATGACTCACGTAAACGGTACCCAGGTCGGAATCAAAACCGTGTCTACCTAGTGGTGACTGAGCCCGGGTATGTGTTTTTTTATAGCTCTACCAGGAAAACTATTTGGCCCAATTTGAATCTTTTTATCTTGCAACAAAAACTTCTGTCACACTGATTTTGACTTGATTCACTTGATGATAATAATTCAAAGTTGAGCATGAACAAAAGTATTTTTCTGCTCCACTGACAAAAGATGTCAACATTTTCACAAACATTTTCCATGTCTGGTGTTAATTATCCAGACTAGTTATTTTCTATTGAAAGTATATACAAGAAAGGGCATTAAAGTACATTTTAGCATTTGGACCCACATCTGTTGGTAGCAGCTGTAGCATTCATCGGTTCCTCTCATTTGAGGTTAAATCTCAGCTGTGATGCAGCAGCCTGAAAACTCCTAATCACATTAAATGCAGGCAGTGTTTTCCTTTTGAAAGAAGGCCATCAGCAGATGAGTGTGCTGCTTTATTGTGGGACATGGAGGCAGTGTGTGTGGGGTTCAGGGCGCAGGCTGTGGTCACCAGCTTCTGTTGACTCCACCCTTTGCTTCCTCTTCCTCGACAGATGTGACTGTCAGAGGCTTTGTATGGCAAGCTGTTCCCTGGTGGTCTTTCAGTAAATGAAGAGCTGTAGCCCCCAGTCGTTGCTTATCCCTGGACTTGTCGGTAGAATGAATAAAAAGACACCAGTGTGACACTGCAGTGCATTTTTCATTACTTTAGCCTTTTTTCTTTCAAAAGTTCAAACAGGACTCCCTGCACTTACCTGATTAACTTTGCACTAGAACATTGTCTGTGTACTTTATTTTAGGCTTTGAAGATGGTAGCCATTCCCACTCACTCAAACAAAAGTTACTCAACATATTTACAAAAATGTTACCCGCTTCCTTGTTTCCGTGTTGGGTGGCCCACACATGTGCATTAGAGAGGTTACGGTTATTAGACTATGCCTTCATGGATTTAGGAATTCACAATACAAAGAGTTATAACTGACCACTTTTAGGTGGTTACAGACATCTATGACTAAGAATTTCACTGTTATGGTATTTTGAGGAATAAGAATGGCATTGTTATAATATCATGTTTTTTTTTATTCTCAGGAAATCCCATGAAAAGACAAAAAACAGCAATGAATTGAATACCGAGCTACGACATGGCTTATTCTTCCATTGTTGTCCAAAAAAGATTAAAAACACATCAATCTACATTACCATGAACATGGCCTCTGTAGGTTATTTTGAGCCAATCCCACATTCACAAAGCTGCATAAATACTAGCTAGCTCACCAAATGTGAGGTTATAGTCACTAACAAATGCTGTGCCCATTTAGTCTTGTTTCAGTAACGTTGGCTAAAAACTTTAGGGCTCAACTGTTTAAAGGGAAAATAACTACTATGAAACTTAATATTTTTAACCCAGATTTGCATCTTCCACAGGAAATAATGGATCTTGGGGCTGGGTGTCACAGACAGTTTATGGAAGTTGCAAATCATTGAGGGGCGGACTAAAACTTTGTTGAATTTGGTCTTTCTGTGGGGTTTCATTGTAATGACACAGAAATCAACCTTTAACCGAACCTTCTTGTTTAACATGCCAATCACAGTGCTTTTGGTGGCACGGTGTCTATTTCCTCCCCAGACCAACATTATGAGTTACCTGTCATTAGAACCGAAGTGCATGGGGTTAATAAGCCATTCAAAATTGTGGGCAACAAGGGAGCATTCAAAAAATACATAGGAAGTGCTATTATTAGTGATGCTATTTTCACTGTGTGTTAGCTAGTAGCCTAGGTCTTGTCGACTGAATAATTCTTGAATAGACAATTGACTGTTTCAATTACTGAGTCATAGGAAACTATGCGGTAAAAATGGCTTCCAGATATTTCCATGGATAATTAACTACTGTGAATGAACACAGGCCAACCTTTTGGAACAGTTTTTGCCTGCTGTTTTCAGAGTCAGGGTTTTTCCCTCAGGTTAGGGTCACTCGGATACACTGTGGCTTCACAGTCCATATTAAAGAGGTATACATGCAGGATGTGCACAGTCAGCAGTTGAATCCCCCAGGAGGGGAGCGTCAGGGTTATGGGAAACAGGTGTGGCTGCTTTCCACGGCTCACTCTTATTTGTTTCACTCATTCAGCTGTCAGGTGGTTATGATATTTGGGAAGAGCACACAGTCTTGTATACGCTGACCTACCCCCTACCACCCAAGTGGAAGATTATTAGCACTTACCAGTCAAATACTGGGTGGTGCTGACTGCAGCAAGTTAGCTTTCAGTAGTGTTGTCTTATTTGCTTGTACACAAGTGATGACATACATTACTGTAGCTAGTAAGGAATTTCCTTTGTCAACTGTTTTTGGCATATCCGAGTCCCGCAGTGACTCACATACTTCCTAGTTCTTAGCTCTCTATACATCTTTCTTATCAAGTCTCCAAACATTAAACATATGTTAGGAAGGAACATTGTCCTTTGGCTCAACATAGTAGACCATTTTTTTAAAGTCAATCATCCAACTTTTTTAGTTCCCCCCTACAAGTATATTTCTGTTATATCTTTATTAAAAAACATTTTAAATCGTTGACATATAACTTGATTTAGCAGTTTTAAAGTATTGGACTTACTATACCAGAGTCTCAGGTCCAAAACCACAAGTGAGCAGGAAATGTTCCCTGCATGCTTTATTTACAGTAATAGAGTAACTGATTAGTGACAGTCCAAAATTGTTTATTGTATTACAAAAGTGATCAAGTCCAAAGTTTTCTAGGTTTCTTAA